CGAAACTAACGCCTATTTTGAAGGCAAAGAAAAATCGTTTTACAAAGGCGGTATCGAAAGATTGCAAAAGCGTTGGAATGGTTGTATCTCCCTATAAGGGGACTATGTTGATGAATGTTGATGAATGTCACACACATTATTGAACGAAGTGTTATAAATCAATATCAGTACACAAGACTGTCGTTCGTTTCAAAAGTACTTAAGAGATAAAAAACCAATTTGAAGTCTTAGCACTTTTATTACAATTTATTATCTATATTTATTGTTTTACAATTGCTCTATATATCAATGGTTCTTTTTTTTTCGTTCCAATATTGAATTTTTTTTCGATATTCATATTCTAATGCGTAAAATATGTATAAAGTTTATATAATACACAAAAGTATAAAAATTAATCTATTGCTTTTAATTTTATTTTTTAACTATAAAAATATTATATATTGAGATTGATTTATTTTTACATGAGTACAATTTTCGTATAGCAAATTTAATGTTTAAAAATAAACTTAGTATATTTTTATCAAGTTTAGTTTTATAAAGAATTGAACAAAATAAAAACAAATAAAAGAGTTCCTTACTTTTTACAATTTTTATTTTATACAATTATTATAAAATATATAAAATGATAATTTCGACTAGCTTTTGCTTTAAGAGTGCATGCGATGCGCGGCATCAGTTCAATTTTGTATAAATACTCATGTTCTTAAATAACATTAAATACAATGTTAAAAGTATTTTTTTTTATTAAATACTATGTTTTTCCTCATAAACTATTGTATTTATTGGCGTTATTTAATTTTATATAAATAAATAAACAATATATTGAAGCGTTTAGTATTTCAAGGCATTTATATAAAAAATTTAATGAATATATCAATATTTAAAAGTGAATGTAAAACAATTAAAATATATTAAAATCATAAGGTAGTACAGATTAGAATTATCATTTTATCATTATTTTTGCACATTACTAGGTTTTGTTTAAAAAGATTTATTACTATAATCATGTCATTTATAATAATTGATATACTTCTGTTCGCTGGCTTTCGGAGAAGTATATACAAATTAATTTAAGGTATATGACTACGCTAGGAGGCTCATCAGGCTGTTTGCATATGCCATAGGTTTAATGTCAGGATGAGGCTGATATGAAAAAAAGAAGAAAAAAATAATTTAACTTATTTAATTATGTATTCAATAATTTTAAAATATATTGTAAACATTATAACAAAATATATAGCAATTAAAGTAAATAAGATAGATTCTTTTTAATATTTATATTTTTGAAAGAACTGCTAAATAATAACTACGTATATATTATTTATTTTTAATGCAACTTAATATTTTAGGAACTATTTATCCTCCATTATTTTTATTACTGTTATTTTCAACAAGAATAAATTAGAAAACAACTCAGGTTAAGGTTGGTGGTTGAAGTAGTGATCTAGTACTTGAACACATATAATGTCCCGTTGTAATACCCTGAATTAACGTTGGACATACGCATACCCAAAGGATTGTTAAAAGAACCGCAGTGGTCAATGAATAGTTAATGCCGAAAGGTATACTGTATTCGCATGAAAGTGATCTAGCCTGATAAGTTTATAAACTTGGTCAAGTCTATAAACTTTAAAAAAAAAAATCATAAATATCTTTCAATAAATCTTGGTGAGAGACCGTAAAAGTTGTCATTTAAGACTGTTTGCATGTCTGCCTATCAATTAATGATCAGTTGCGACAGATATATCATTATTCAAGTTAATTAGTTTTCAAGCTTTAGATGGGTTTACAGGTTTTTTTTGTCTTGATCTACACATTTCTTTAGTCTTGGTTGAAGTAGTAATAAATTCACTTAATTTATGTTTCTTAGTAAAAAATGGGGGGACTATCAAATCAATGAACTCAGTTGTATAAGATCAATAATAATAAATATAATAATAATAATAATAATAATAATTACAATAATTATAATTATAATAATTATTATAATAATAATAATTATAATAATAATAATTATAATAATAATAATTATAATAATAATAATTATAATAATAATAATTATAATAATAATAATTATAATATAATAATTATAATAATAATAATTATATAATAATAATTATAATAATAATATATAATAATAATAATTATAATAATATTATAATATAATAATTATAATAATAATAATATAATAATAATAATATAATAATAATAAATAATAATAATAATAATAATAATAATTACAATAATTATAATTATAATAATAATTATAATAATAATAATTATAATAATAATAATTATAAAAATAATAATTATAATAATAATAATTATAATAATAATTATTATTTTATTATTATCACATGTTCTATACAATATTTGATTGTATAAACTTAGCCTATTCATAAAGAGTTTGTACAAAATAATTATAATAACAATAATTATAACAATAATAATTATAATTGTAACATTAATAATAAAACATGCAACATATAATATTACACTTAAAGTAAAAGTTACAATGGAACAATGAAAAAAATACAGAATAAAGTAGTTTTCTTACCACAGCTTCAAATGATGTAAAATTGGGTTTTAAATCATTGCCTTTAATTGTAATAAAAGCTCCCATATTTCCCATAGTATCACTATAAAAAAGTATGTACATATTTATATTAATGATATGTTTTAAATTTCATATATATTTATAATAGTACCAATAATTTGGAGCAGAAAATACTGTTATACATTGACCGTTGTGTGTAACTTCATACCCCTGATCTTTAACTTCATGACTGCGCACAACATATTCCAATTTATTACGTTGACAAAATTCTTTTGTTACATTTGGTCCGAATTGTATTCCAACTCCGCGTTTAGAAGGTCCACGGCCTTCCCATGTTTGTGGATCAGACCAGAGTAATTCACACATAAGTCCTTCTTCAGGCGGTTGACAATTTCTTTCAATTTTACGTATATCTTCTAAAGTAACATTATCAGTAGAGAAAAGTCCACCGTGCATTATCAAAATTTTATTATTTATACAGTGGCAAAGAGGTAGCCAATTAAATACTCTTGTAAACATATCAGCCATAGTACTTGTATATTTGGCTGTTACTTCACCAGTAAATCCATACATTTGATTCATATTAATACTTTCATGATTACCTTTCATACAAAAAGATTTATTGGTTAATAAAACTAATATATTTATATATATTATATAAAATATTTGAATTACATTTAATTTTAACAAACACCTACCTCTAGACATATAGAAATGATTTGGATATAATAGTTTAAATCCGAATAATGTAAAAATACATTCAACCGAAAATGAGCCTCTATCAACGAAATCTCCATTGAATAAATATGGATTTGTATCTGACGGTAATCCATTTATTTTGAATATATTCATAAGATCATAAAACTGACCATGGATATCACCACAAATAGTAAATTTTGACTCATCTGGTACCGTTATATCAACCATAGATGGTTGTGCACGCATATATATATCAATATCACATAAAATCTATACAAATATATAAAATAAATGAATAAATATTTATAGTCAATAAAATAATATAAAAATTATGTTCATTAATTTAAATTGGTGAAAAAAGGAAGAAAGAAATTTATATAGACTAATATACAATAATAAAAACAAAAATAAAATTTAATCTATAAGTTTTTATTTAAGTTTTTAAGTTTTTATTCATATCAGCCACTTTTCACCAATTTAAAATAATAAAAAAGAAAATTTACAACTACTCTAAAATAAGTTCATTACTTTTGTTGTCTGACATTTTAAATTAAATTTATACAAAATTTTAGGTATAGCCTTGGCAAGGCCAAAGACAAATATAAAAAAATTATATTTAAAAATTAAAATATACCTTGTATGCATATTTGCGATGTAATTTTTTTTGGTTTTTATAATGCTCCATAAGATCCATCATAAATTTTAAAGTAACTTTATTTTCTTCCAAAGCAGGTCCATTATAATCATCCTCAATTGCTAAAGGCATTCAAATAATCTAGATGTTATGATTTTATCAATTATTAATAAACTAAAACTTACTTATATTTTCTAAATCGTGGAACATTTCGGATAGAGATTTTTCTGGTTGATCTACAGCGATTGCACGTTCAAAGGCACGCATTTTGACGATTTTATTGCATTCAGTGAACTTTAATTTAGCATCTTTATCGTTAGGTCGACATTTAGAAACCTATAAATATATAGACATATATATAAGATTATATCATTATAATATATACATTTATTAAAATTAATTACATATTCAAAATCCGATAATGCTTGCTTAAATTTTCCCAATGACATGTGAGCTGCTGCACGTCGATAATAACCCTTAAGATAAGCTGGATCGCTCTTAACTGCCGAAATGCCATCTTGTAAGGCAAATCCAAAACTTTCCTGACGTAAATGAGCTAAAGAGCGATTCGCATAATAAATTGCACTGCTTGGACAAAGCTCAATTGCTTTTGTGTAAAATTCTATAGCTTTAGTGAAATCCTTAGCTAAAATATATATACAATTATACAAATATACAAGTGAACAAATATACATAATAATCAAAGTTATCATAAAATAAGAATGCATATTGTTTATAGTATACAAAATAACAATTATAATTTTTATGCATAATAAACAAAAATTGAAGTTTTGTGTATTTACTTTAAAATATATGAGCTTCTTATTGTGTCTTCCTACTCCTCTTAGTGGTGTTTATTGAATTCTCTTCAACTACTCTTATATCTGTAGGTCATGAGTGAGCAGAAGCTACAGCTACAACTAATTGTGGAAAGATATTTATTGGAAAATAATTATTAGTGTTTAAAATCGGTAGTATTATACAAAATGTCGTGGTAGTTGGTACGGTGCTGCGTATATATTTATATTTAAAGTTGAATGAAAGATTTTGATAATAAGTTCTTGTGTTTAAAATATAAAATAAATATCAAAGGATATTTAAAAATTTGTGGCTCATTATTTACAATTTATTAATATTTGTAAGTTATTCTGTATAATAACAGTGTTCGGTGAATAAAATATTGTTTAGCCAGCGTAAACGGGAAAAATAAATTGGATTATCTTCGGCTAAGTACAGCTCTAAACACCCTTTACACGCACAATGACGGAACCTTAAAGCCTTTAAGTCAGTTAATATAACGAAGCATAACTAAAATGTGCCAAACGTTATTATTAATGAATCTATTAATTGATTATAATTTATTTTAAAATATATATGTTGTAATTTTTGTAACCCGCTGGGACTTGTTTGTGAAGTCTCTTTAGGAGTTGTTAAACAGCACTTGGTGGCTTTGGGACGTAGACCCAGCCGTTCTTGGAACCTTAAAGTATACATGGTTGCAGATAATGCAGATATGGTCACAACAGACTTTACTACGCTTGAACTTTTCGTTGTTTTAATTATTTTCTGACCATTTTTGTTACAACTAATTTTGGACTGAGATCCAATCCAAAATCTACATAAATGTAGTTGTAAATAACATGTAGAAGTGTATATAAGTTTAAGGATATGGCGAATCGACATTACGGCGCCACTCATCATCGATGGTGAAGTACTGATTAGAATTTCTATTCGAGTTACATCTTCTACAGAAATAGCAAACTGAGTAGGTTTTACTAAGAACAGGGGAATATATTCGATCTACAAGAATTCTGTAAATACATACTTTTGGTTTTATACAACACTTGAAACCGCAACGTTATTTTGTTTAATATTGGAATATAGCTAAACTACAATAATTTTAAAAATACATATTTATAGTTTTATACTACTCTTGAAACTGCAAAGATAACTTGTTCAATATTGGAATATATCTGAACTAAAATTTTGGAAATATACAATTTCACTGTAGTATACTTGAAACAGCAAGGATAATATGTTTAAAATTCACAGATTTGACTTTCAATTAATTAATCAAAGATATTCTAAATCAACACACAATTCACTAAATAGTTCTTATGATAATTTACTACTCTCTAACCCACTTGCGAGAAAGTTTGCAGTTTTATAGATTTTCACAATTAACAACTACATTTCGCTTATAACATTGTTTTAAATATTCTGTAACTTTTAGTTACAGCTATACAATACATATATATAAACTATAATTTCGTTAATTTGTATAATTAACAATACTAATTAGTGTATTGAACCGTTTTCCTTTCCAATAACTTCATACAGACGATATAAAATTAGGTTATGTCTATGTAACATATATGTAATAACACAATATCGTACTATCTAATCGTATATTAGTAATAATTAATAATAATAATTTAAATAATAAATTATAGCATACATTTTAAATATTCATTGCCTTGATTTTTATATCCTTCAGCTAAACCGGAATCATTTTCAACTGAAAATTTAGACTTTTGATCCTGAGTAATTTCTGCATCATTATTTACATTAACATTTCCATCTGATTGTGAATTTTCATTATTCAGATGCATTTCTACTTCAGTTGCAGTCATAATTAAAATGTATTCAAAATTCTAGTTTTGAAAAGTATATAATTAAAATACTAGTGACTATTGTTGACTTTGAACAAGACCAGCTCTATGTGCGTCAGTTCGGTTAATTATTTTAAAATATTTCGACTTCTTGGTTTACTAAGTGAATTCATAAATTAAATATTAATTTTTTATTGTTCAAGAACTAAATTATGGATTTATTTACACTGAAAACCGCGTTTTCTAAATAATAAAGCACGATAAAATACGTTTCGTCTAGAATAAAATTAATTCAGAAGAAGAGGATTATGGCGGAAGCAATTATCAGCTGACATTTAGGGTGCACCAAAAAAACAAAATTTTCAAATGAATGAATTTATTACGTTACGTTAAACCTTGTTCAGTTATATAGATTTTTGTAAGGTTTAGCCTATTCACACAACATAAGCAATTATAATTTTAATTGTTAATTTTGTTCGTTCGGCTTGCTTAGTTATAAAATGAAGATTAATTTAAATTTAATTTCGTTTCTCATATTTTACGCCCATAAATTAATATATTTTTGATATATTTTAGGTTATGGAAATTATTCATAATATCGCTACACACTTTTATTATTTATTTTTAATTTAATTTTTTATAAAATCTTATTATTTTCATCGAATTATTATTGTAACTTGATTTTGTAACAAAAAGATAAGTCAATCAACAAAATTACAATGAAAATAAAAGTTTTTTGTGTTATGTAGATAGCCTAATTATCTTGATCTACATTTAATTTCATTATTATTATTAAATTGTAAATCTCTAGAAATTTTTCTATATAACATTTTCACCACGCTATTTTATATTTTTGACTCAAGAGTTAAAACATTGAAAATTAAATTTCTTGAAATAATCGCTTAAGCAAACACATGAGCAACTTTACATGATTGGTCGGTTCTAGCCATATTACTCATATATACGAGCTTCGTTTCTAGGTGTGCGTGAAATGTTATACAAATTTAATAAAACAGTATATTGTTATTTAAATAATAATTTTATCTGCATTTTTTTTATTTCGCCTTTTAAAACAAAGAAAATAGGAATAAATAATTAAAATAATGGTTTGAATATTAAAAAAATATGTTCTTGAAAACGTTTGACCAATTAGTAGTGGATTGACAATTTTCTATATATTCCCATTTACTTTATTTAAACCAATAACGGGTGACAAAAAGTTTGATTATTTTGTTCTAAATTTTCAACAAATATCGAATTATTGGTGTACAAATTTTACAGAGAATGATGAAGTTGAATTTATTTGATTGATCCTTTACATTTAATATGTTATGCAATCCATGGAAAAATTAATTACAACTTTTTGCTTCTATTTTAAAGATTGTGTTTTGCATTTATTAATTTATTGCACTTTTTAATGAACATAGAAATTAAAAATTCCTTAATAATTAAATAATAAACCTAAATAATAACCTTAATAAATAATTGACGAATGACTTCTTAACAATTACTAACCTGTCAGTAATTTTCACAAATTTTATTAAAAAAATAATTTTTTTAAAATATTTAAATTTACTTATTAACACTCGGAATAGTTGTAAATAATAAACAGCTGATTGAAGTTTTCCATTTTCTGTCAAAAATCATTCACAATAGATCAGTTTTAAGATTTGGCACCATTGTTATGCGAGAGGGTTATTCGTTAACAACTTTCAGGAAAATGGGTTTATTTTTGTGAATTTTGTTTATGCTTTACATGTTAATTTTTAAGCGACACATGTTCTTTTGGAGCAGTCGTGTCAAAAGAATGCACCTATATAGGCTGTATGCGAGTTAGATCAAATTGATGGTAAATTGAGAGAAATAGTAAATTATATCGGTTGGCAGTGAATGTTGGTATATACCAGAATTTCAATTAGTGTAAATTAGATAAAAATTAAGTAAATTAGGTATTACCATTGTTAAAATTTTATAAGATGTTTAATAAATAAATAAATAAATTTCAAAACTTTATGTGTAGTTGGAATTGACAGTATGGGCTGCTTAAAAAACTTGTTGGATGCGATACGAACTACTGAATGCTTGTATTAACCACATAAATCTCCAACACACTACAGCAGGTAGACCAAACAATTGAACGAAAGACCGACCAAAACATAGTATGAAAAAAAATTCACACTTCTTGTTAGTATATTGGTGAAAAAGTTGCAGTTCGAAGCTAGTGCACTGCGTATGAAGATTGTTTAGTGCAACGTTTGCATGTTAATGAATGAAATTGTATTAAAAATTGTTGAAAATGTTTATTATTATATGAATAAAACTGAAATAAAATAAGTGAAATTATCAAGAATTTGTTGTGTTGTTTTTAATTGTTTAATATAACTTTGTTTAACGATGGCAGTTAATAATTTATCAATCGATAGAGAATTTCGGTATATTGTTCAGTGGTTTAACGAATGGAGCGATTTAGAACGTAACGATTTCGTTCCTGTATTTGTAAATTATTTTATACAAGATAATGAGAATCTACATCTTAATGGTGTTGTTAATTCGGTGGCAGATATTGGGATAAAACCGATGTCATTATTTCAATGTCGTGTAAGTTTAATAAATTTCTAGTGCTAACAATTATTAAATTTTATTTTTGATATGAATAAGAATATATATTTTATTGTTTAATAAATTGTTTTAAAATTTCACTGAAAAATCACTACTGGCTAGCTGAGTAATAATTTAATACGTCACTTCCTGTAATAATGACGATATATTAATAGTTTTCGAGTTGGTATGTTAGTATGAAATGGTTAATGTGTAATTTACATTTCTTATTAAAAACTAAATAAATTGTATTTTGTTCTTTTATAAATATTTTTTGTTCCAAAAATATTGTCTAAAATCTTCAATCAAATAGATATTTAACATGATAAAGTACAGTATGAATTATGATGTACCAGTTAAGCTAATTGATTGAATAGTTTTTAGGATATCGAAGATTTGTTGATACCGGAAATACTGAAAATTAACTCTTCTTCCTAACAACTGTTTTTTGGTTCCCAGATCAAGTAATTATCTTTAAGTTTTATAGGTCTTCCAAAATATATAGTGTATATATAAGTCACATACAAATGTATAAGATATTTTTCCACATCATTTAAAAAGAAAAATGAGGTTTATTTGTTTGTAACTTTACTAGAAAGTGAAATACTTTTAAGTAAACTGAAATAAACACTTATATTAGTAATTATAGCAAATAATTTATATTGTTTAATGACGTCAGCGCTTTAACAATCAGAACTTAAACAAAACTGGTCGTTGTTAAATATTGTTTGTAATGAACTAAGAGAGAACGATACGCTTTCATAACTGATTTAGTATAATTCAATGAAATCTAATTCAAGTAATTATGGTTCTTATAAGCTCAATGCACTTAAGCTTACATAAATCAAAAGAAACTGTTTATCTAGATGGAAAAAATCTATTTTTAATTAAATTTTTATTATCTTATCATTACTGATAAAATCTTGAGCATATTGCAATTTTTTTTAAAATATTTATATAATATTTAAAAATTTTAGAATATAAACTTAACTTTAATATTTGTATAATAAGTTATGACAAAGATAATAAATATCTATTTATTAATAGATATAGACAAAGATGTCTTTTTGGTTGATTGCAGTGGAAGGCTATCAGGTAACTTCCATCTACCTTAATGAGCGATTTTTCGACGTGTAGTAGCACATTCCTCACAAGACCCCTTAAGATTGAAGATTATAGAATAAATTCATCTCGTCGAATTTAGATAATTTAATAGGTCTTTCGTCTTTAACAATAAATAGTCTGATAAACTATGAAAAATGCACCTTCCTTAAAACCTAATTTTTCTGAACGTCAAAACCGGACATTCATAGAGAGAGTTTTTAATGGTTTCTTTTTCCTGCAGGTTTTCACAACTTTTGTACTAAGGATTATGAGGAATGCGTATGTGGTTGGGTTCTATAGACTAATAACCAGAAAGAACTGCAATAAGCTTTGTGGTGTTAATTAATATCTATTTATAATCTTTGGTCATATTCATTTTTTTTCAATGCTTTTGTTATATAGGAACAGTTAAATTATATATACCCGTAGATGTTCAACGCTATACGTAATAAATAACCCTAAGATTTTGAAATTTGAGCTTTGGGTAACAGATTAAAGGTGAAATTTGGGATTAATTGAATAGGGCTAAAGAAGTGAATCATATTTCATATTCAGAAAACTTGTTACATCGTTGAGGCGGAGATTTAGTGTGTTGAAAATAACATGTTAACGCAGTATTAGGGTACCTTTTTTAAATTTGAAAATAAACTATATGGAATCAAACCGGCCATGAAATTGGATGAAAGATCAATACATTGTAAATTTGTATATATATTAAAAATAAAAATAATATTGAGTTTAAGGTTTCTGTAGGCTAGACAATTGTAATTAAATAAATTTTTAATCACTATTATTTTTAATCATTTCTAATTTTTATTTATGACCTATTGCTGATAAAACTAATGTTTTACGATTGTCATAAATATTTATTTAATTTAATTTTACATATTTTACTAACAATTCATGCATAATTTTATATATTTCTTATAGATTAAGTTATTTCGTGAATGGAACGTTAAATGGCCACTTGAATTTAAATCAAAACTTAAAGAAAAAATAATTGAGATCGATCCAAAAACGGGTGAAAATATCATTAGTGAAATGAATAAAATTAATAAAATCACTATAAATGGGCATGAAAACAATACTCTTGAACATATTGAAGAAATAGAATCAACAGCTGCTGGTCTCCCAGTAGAAAACGGCCAAGCCACGTTATCCGCTGCAGTTAGCGGTCATGAAGAATTCAATACAGAAAATCAGATCGTAACGGTGCAAAGCAACGATCTCGTGCTTACCAACAACGACAATGCAGAACTTGCTGAGCAAGTTCAAATGCCAACGCAAGAACTCGTTCCTGCTGAAGTCTCATTAACTGCCTAGACTTAGTACGATGCATTTAAATAAGTGAAAATTAGTCTTAAGTTACGTCTGCACATCTGTATGTCGGTATAAATGTGCATATGGAAACTAATGCACACCACATATAAACTGCACATACTCAGATATTACTTAGCAAATATCATCTACATATGTGTATGGCTAGTTTTATCGTTAAAGTTCACAAAAGCTATTTAAAAAAAAAACAATTAAATTAAATAAAAAATATTATATAATATTTCTTAACATAAATAGTTTTAAACATTTTTATAAAATTATTATTTTTTTAATTAATTGATCAAAAACACTTGCCGTACATAAATA